TATTATATCCAATGGTGAATTAAGGTCTGAGAGAGTGCCATTTCCGGCCATTTAGAGGGGCCGTAATTATAAATGTTCTTACCTCAGCCCCAACAATGGTGGTGGTATTGACACTTATCAGTGAAAATCTCTCCCCTATGGGCCCTATTAAATATTCTTGGATTGGCCACTCATATATCAATAATTTTGTCGTTAAAAACGTTTAGAATGTGAAATGACAATTAAAAAACGAGTACTTTTAAAATTCCACAATGGAATTGGCGACTGGGACCAAAAAGGGCCCCACTCTTAGAAAGCCACAAGGTCCCCGGCCCCATCGTTACGCCACTGATTGTAGATTTATATATTTTTTTCTTCATAGACATTTTACCACTAATGATTTGAAAGTGTTCTATTAATTTTGTTGTTCCTCTTGATGAATTTTGCCATAAACATCTAATCTATGTTATAACTGTCAAATTGTAATTGTTTTTTTCATTCCTTTGCGAATACTTGTGTTTGTAAATTATTAAACTTTTGCCATTTCCCATTGTCATTGCCGTCCTCATCATCATGTGATCATCATCATCACTATCATCACCACCAATCATCATCAAAATCCTGTGTTTCCATGTGCAAGTTTGGTTGCTGGGATTGCTGAAAATGGAAGCTCTCTATTGATTTCTGTTTGATGCCTCTTCATTTTTAAATCCTATGTTTTCAGTGATTCAACTTACAAGGCAAACACAGTAAATGCAAATAAATGACACATAACATGGATTTCTTAGAATTTAAATATTTATTTGAATATTCAAGTGAAATATGAATTACAAATAGTTCACATGGGTTAAACAATTTAAAAAATGCTGACAAAATATACAGTACTCTAAGGCAATGGCTATTGTAACATATGTATATATATATGTATTGTACAGAATAATATTTTTTTAAGAAAAAAAAATGAGCAGACCCAATAGTACTTGTCATGTCAGTACAGACAATATCTGATAAACTATTGTCTGTTAAGTCTGTCAGAAAAACAAATATGATTTATACTGTAATACCTTTCACAAAAAGGTAGTAGATAGTATGATCATACTCTTACTTTGAATATGTCATCTACTGCACTTAATGATATGGTTTAACATTAAAACACTTTACTAATGCATGTTACAAAATAAACAAATATAATTGTAAAACTGATGGGCCTCTTAGTGTTAATTCTACAATGAATATTTTAGCAGTGTGTTTTTGCTTTAAAAATTAATGACAAGAATGTTTAATTACTCATCACCATAGAGGTAAAGAAGTATATATCAATATCAGTGGAATGCTATCAACAACTAATCTTATAATTATAAAACTGATGGTCCTCTTTGAGTCACTTTCAGATTAAGTACAATACAATAAAACCACTATTAACATTTTTGTTGCCCAAAAAGGTCCCA